CTACGTGAATTTGCAGAAACATGAGAAATCATGAGTTTTCAACAGCGTGGAGATTCTCTTTCAGTTGAATTATCAATTGAGACTAATCTGAAATTTATGAGATACTCGTTTTTCTCAGGGTCCCGATCCCATAAGAAATGCTTGAAAATAACAACTACTTCGAAGATTTTCTATTTATTTTGTGCTCTTCTAAAATAGAGACATGATAGAAAACCACTTCTTTAGTCCATCAGTTCCACACATTTGGAGACGCAGTGTCATCGAGGCAAATTCCGCACCTGCCACGATCATTTTTGTAATATCTCGCTTTCTCAAACAATTTTTAACTCAAAAGCTTTTCTCTCAGACGTGGAGTAAATGATATGAAGCACTCTTTAGTCCCAGTACTGTTACGGATATTTGTTTGAAATCCGAAACTAGGAATTTTACTTTACATTTAGCTTACATGTGACACGCCTCACTGAGCACTATTTTTACTGTCTCGACTTTCACGTGTTATTTTCAAGAATACAACTTATTTTCTAACCATTCTTTTTGCGATGTATTAATTAATGCAACAAGCACATGCCATATTTCCAAACAAAATGGGTTTTTAGTGCTCAGTATCCCAACACGTAACATTAGATATGAACGGCAGGACATCAACAGACGGGAAAAAAAATTTCGATATTTTAGAAAGCTGCTTTCATTTATACGCTATCTTTGTTCAGCTTAGAACGATTGGTTCAAGATTTGAGAGTGATAAATGCTCGTTTTTTTGAGAGAATTTAAGAAACATAACATTGGATAAGTTATAGATTCATGTAGTAAAGCAGAGGAGAGGGAGGTTCAGAAAATTCATATATTTGAGTAAAAGCCTCTACCACAGCACCGCAATTACTGACGCAACTTTTTATATTCCCACATAGACCGACTAGTTAAATATCAGGTATTTAGCCGCAATTCACTGGAGATCGGTTATTTGCTCCAGCTTTCAGATAACTATCTACTCCATGGAATTCTCTACGCACAAAAACATAAATATTTTACAATTCAAAAGCAACATTCATTTGCTCAAGATAATCAAAATCGCAGTTAGATGGTGTAAAGCACTGGGCGTCTGACAGCATAAAGCAGGTCTATCCGATTTTAAAAGTAAAAAAAAGAACCATCTATCCATTACGTTCATTTCCCTAACAATGTTCAAAGTTAGACATACGTAATCAGAAAAAAATGTAAACTCACCATTGGATAATGGTCCCCAGGTGGCGGACTCTGCCGACAGCGGAATACGCAAAACACGACTACGGCTATGATCATGATGACGGACACAGAGGCGATGCTGATTAGAGCTGTCCTTGGGAAGTCAGCCGCTTCGGAAGCCTAAAATAATTAATTAATTATCAACATTATTGCTCAATGACCGCAAAATCAAAAGTAAATAAATAATAATAAATAGAAATAGAACTTGGAAACTTGTTAAACGTGGGCTCCTTGAAAGAAGAAATTACAGAGAATTTTTTTT